TTATATTTTGAATGTTATGATTGCTCAAAATATTTACAAACTCCATTTTGGGAATAACTTTCAGAGCAACTTAGGCTATCCACCCCTAAGTCACTTCTTACTTGGTATTCACACTTCATTTTGGGTTTCAAGTAATATTCCTCATTTTGAGTGGTGGCACCAAGGATTAATTTGGGAACTCTAGCCTCTTATTTCAGTAATAGTCACCAACAACTTATTGTCCCAATAACAGTAAGAATCCAGTCCATATACAAGGACTCTTGAGAAAGTTCATGGAAAATGTGTAGTATCAAAGAATTATGCATAAAGTTTTAAAACATTTGTACCAAATAAACTTGAACTTCAACTCCACTTGTCCACAAACTTTTTGAATAAATTCAGAAGCTTCAAGGCATGCATTTTATTCATAGGATTTTGGATATCAGGCACTGGGGTAGATCTTGTGGATATAGTCATTTGTGGTAGGAAGTCTGGTGCTTGCTTTTACAGAACTTATAGTCTATATGAGAGATGAAAATTAATCAAGCACTTAAACATACTGAATATATGTACACACACAGGATTAAAAACATAAGCAAATAATATGGATAAATAATAGCCAATGTTCATGGTTCCAGCATAGCAGGCACTGTGATAAGTGCGTTGTAGATATACCATATAAAACTCAGTAATATGAAGTACGTCTTTTAATTAGCATCATCTTATAGTCCAGAAGCTAAGACCCAGAGAAAAGGAAAAATGTGCCCAAGTGACACAGCACACTGGGGACGAAGGCGGAATTTTATTCTAGGTGTCTAACTTCAGTGCAGGACCTTAACTACAGGCTCTAGTGCCCCATTATCTCTGTGTGAATACGTTTCAGGAAACTGAGGAAGTCCAGGGAGTTTTAAGGTTGCTTCAGCTGGGCCGTGGGCCGTGGTTGACCTTGCAATCCATGTTAAACACATTTGGTTTTCATCCTAAAAGTGATGGGAACACATAGAGTGATTTTAGGCAAGGAGCAATATAATCAGATTTGAGATTTGGAAAGATCATTCTTGCTATAGCTTGGAAAATGGACTGGAGAGGAAAGGAATACAGGGAAGCCTGTTTGGAGGTTACTGACAGCTAGGAGACCAGGGAAGTTTGGACTAGGGCTATGATAGTAGAGATGAAATAAAGGAATGGGTTTGAGAAGAAGCAGGAACAGGACCTTGTGGTGCTTTGGGCATGGAGAAAGGAAAAAGGAGACAATAAGAAGGCTTCTTTAGTTGTGGCTCGTGGCATTGGCTACCAGTGATGCCTTTCTCTGAGAGAGGAGGCAAAGGCTGGGGTGCAGGCTTAGGAGAGGAGAGTCGGTGCTCTCTTGAAAAGTTGCATCTGAGTTCTCTTTGAGATTTGCAAGTGGAGACATCAGTACACAGCAGGCTTGATGTAATGCTCGGAGGTGAGGTTCCAGCTGGGGATAAAGTGGGCGTCACTGGCATGAGGCTGATTGGTGACACTGTGGGCAAGGGTGCTATCAACTGGAGAGAGCATTGGGCAGGAAGGAGCCAATGTTATTGCTTCAGGGTTTGGACAATGAATGGCAGATGTGGAGAATAAAACTGCAAACGCTGGCTGAAAAGTAGTGGCAAAGAGGACAGCATGATGTCACAGAAGTCAAGAGAACATTGTTTAGGGAGGAAAAGAGCTAATAATAATGTCCAAATCTGCTGCAAGATCAGATAACATCGCAAATTTTTTTAACATGCCATTTGGATTTAATAGATGGAGAGGTACCCTCTGGATTTTTCCTATGTTCTATTCCTCTGTCAGGTTTGATCAGTTTTCAAGTTAGAAAGCAACAAACTACATTAGTTTAACTTTGAATAAAAATGGTTTCATCAAAGGCCAGCTCTGTGGCACAGCAGTAATGCATTGCTCAAGAGAAACTGTATCCCACCTGGTGACCCTGGTTCAAATCCCCAGCCTCGTTGATTTGGGACATTCATATGGGGGCCCAACATCTGCCAGGCTAGAGAAATGGAGCCAGAGGATCAAGGCATGACCAGACCTCATGGAAGCTACTGTCTGGCTGTCTGCCTCTCTCTAATGTACATATGTACTTTATCATGAATAAAGAGAAAAATGTCTTTGTCAAAATACTGTTTAGTATTATCTTGTATTGTAAGAAATTATTAAAAAAAATTTTTGTCTTTCCCAAACTACCCTTGAAAATGTGAAAGACATAATTTATTATATTACTCAATAATTTATTTACATTGTCTTCCCTATGGGGGGGATTGGTTCCAGGATCACCTTGATGCCAAAATGACAATAGTCATGCCACAATCCCTTTTTCTCCATCCCTCTCTTTGTTTGGGATTTTGGGCACACATGATTGGTACATTTCAAGTTGCAAGGTGACCTAGCAAGTTGCAAGGTCAGAGGCTTGAGCTGTGTTGTTGGCCATGTGAGATCGATTGCCTTCATCACCAATCCATAGACCTGGGTCACTGTTTTTTGTTTGTTTGTTTGTTTTGTTGTTGTTGTTTTTAATTGCTAGATAGAGGTACACTGGCCAAAAAGAGAAGAAGAGGGAGAAAACAACCCTAATGGTGTGTGGTCACACCACAATCTCTTCTCTATTGCTTCATCTCATCAGGATTCTGGGTTCAGTATATTTCTTAAGCTATTGGGGCTGGGGTTTGAACTGCGTTCACGCACGTAGAATCTGGCTTCCCTTAACCACTAGCAACAGTGCCAGCAAGGTTTTCACAGTATCTTTAGCTGTAGGCTTTTCTTAATTGAAAAATGATATACCATCTTGGTTTATAAAACAGAGAGTAGGAACTGCTCTGCTTCCTTGCCCTAACAAACTCTGTAGCGGACATTCCCTGTTCCTTGATACAGGTCTCCCCGGGGTGTTTCATTTTCAAGCGGACTTTAAAAAACTTGCTGCAAAATGGAATTAAAGTGCAGTTTACTTTGGTACAAAACATTCTTAAATCCATGTGTTTTTAAAATTTTTTTTGGAGAGTTTTTTTTTTTTTTTTTTTTTAAAATTTGCTATAGGGTACGTGTGCTCACCAGAGAGACAGAGAGAGACCGAGGGACAGAAAGCAAGAAATCATCCCCCAGGGGGGATGGTCACACTGCAGTCCTTTCTCCTCCATTTTCCTCTCGGGATCTTGGGCATGCACGCACATATGCCCGGCATGAGTTTAAGCCATCGGGTCCAGGACTCGAACCACGGTTGACTACATGGGAGTTTAGCAACATAGCCATTATGTTAACTGCTGGTCCCTCCATGTGTTGTTCTTAATATGCATATCCCATGAATTTTTTGAGGATCCCTTTCCTTTGACTCCCAATTGCATTCTATTAGGTTGTTGGAAAAGTCAGAATGTATTTTTCTACACAAAAATGCATCACGACTTTTCCAACAGCCCAATTTTTTTCTAGTTTATTATTTTTTAATTTACATTTAATCATTTACATCTTTCCAGTGTATCCTGTGTTTTTTCTCAGCATAAATATGGTGCATAATAGTCAAGTCAAAGACATTACCATATATATTATCAATAGGCAATTTTAAAATTTTGTGTCTACTAAATGTTGTTTTTTTTTTTCCCCTATGATCTCTTCCCTCTCACCCCCTATAGTCTACCTACTCCTATACCGTCTCTAGTGCCTGCAGTTGGCCTCTCTGCTACTGTACCTTTCAGTCTTTCATTTTCTGCTATGGAGTGCAGACATTCAGTATATATTAAGTAGGGACATACGATGCCTGTCTTTCATAGTCTGGCTTGCTTCACTCAGCATGAACTCTTCCATATTCATCCACTTTGTATCAAATGTCAGAGTCTCATTGTTTTTTATGAGTAGTATTCCATAGAGCACATTTGCCTCATTTTTCCATTCACTTGTCTGTTCTTGGACATTTAGGTTGATTCCATATCCTAGCAATTATGAGTAATGGTGTAATAAACATGGATGTGCAAGTGTTTTTCCTATTCTTTGGGTAGATACCTAGAGTGGAAGTACTGGACTGTATGGTAGTTGTATTTGTAGGTTTCTGAGGAACCTCACTACTGTTCTCCACGGTGGCTATACCAACCTACTTTCCCAGCAGTATACGAGAATTCTTTTTACCACAGCCTCACCAGCATTTATCGTTCTTTAATTTTTTGATCTAATCCATTCTGAATGGGGTTAAGTGGTATCTCATTATGGTTTTAATTTGCATTTCCCTCATGATAAGAAAAGTTGAACATTTTTATATGCTTTTTGGTCATTTGTACGTCTTCCTTGGAGAGTTGTCTGTTCAGCTCATTTGCCCATCTTTTAAAATTGGATTGATTATTTTTTTGTGGGTAAGCTTCTTGAGTTCCTGTATATTCTGGTTATCAGTCCCTTATCTGAGACATAGTTTGCAAATATATTCTCCATTCTGAGGGACAGTAACCCTAGTTTTTTGCTGTACAGAAGCTTTTTAGCCCGATCTAGTCACACTTGTCTATTTTGGGGTCTCCAGTTGTCCTTGTGTTCATAGTATATATTCTGGTTCTGTCCAACTGCACTGTAATATCCCTAGAAGCAGAAAGAATGTCTCACACTGCTTTCCTAACTCTCTTAAGGCTTGCACAGGTGCTGAATCTGTAACAAGTCCTCGTGAAGTACTTATCATTTCTCCTCCTGCTTCTCCTACCCTTCCTGAGTTGATGTCAGATGAGGTGAATTTAAGTTTTCCTGACTGATAGAGTAAGCCCATCAGAAAGTGTCCTTATTGTAAATATTTGTTGTGTTCCTGGTTCTGTGCAAAGCACTTTTCTTACATTGCCTTATCTGATTCTCACATCCTTGTTGATGGATATCAACATTCCAATGGCAAACTGAGGCACTGAGCATTTAAGTAACTTGTCTCAAGTCCTAGAGTAAATACATTTTAATTCACTTGTACTTGATGCCAAAGCTCTGACCCTCTCTGCTCTTATATGTGACTCCTGTTTTAACAGTATTTTATCTTGTCCTGAAAGGAGCCTTATACCCAGATGGAACTTCTGGAAAAAACAAGAATGATGACATGGTCCCTCCTGGCAAAAACTACACCTATGTCTGGCCAGTGAGAGAAGAATATGCACCTGCTCCAGCAGATGCCAACTGCCTGACCTGGGTGTACCATTCACACATTGACGCCCCTAAGGACATCTGCTCTGGTCTGATTGGGCCCCTGCTCGTGTGTAAGCAAGGTAAGGAGGATCCCACTGCAAGGGAGCTGCTCCCTGGTAAATGGCATGCTCAACATGCAAGGAAGATTCAGGTCTTGTCCTGCTCACCTCCCTTCCCCCCACAGAATGTTCTGCTTCTTCCCAACTTGACAATCAGGGATGTTCTTCTAACATGGAAGATAATCTGACACCTAACAGGGGCCATAATTCAGACTTCTAAGAACCATCCCAACATTCTGAAGCTTACATACTTTTTTTTTTAAGTGTATATGAAACATGAATGAACTTACATAAGTTTTTAAAATTATTTTATTTAATTTCATGCATTATTACCTTCTTATTTGACAAGAGAGCAACAGAGAGAGAGAGAGAAAGGAACATGAGAAAGTAAGCCAGCAGGTCTGGGACTCGACCTGTGGTTGGCCATGTGGAAGTCCAGCACCTTAACTACCACACCACCTGCCAGCCCCAAGCCTACATGTTTTTTGAAAAAAAAAAAAGAAAGAAAGAAAGAAAGAAAGAAGAAAAAAGAATTTTCATAACATCACATGTAGGAAAGTAAAAAATTTAGTCAAATGACCAGGGATGATTTTTACTTCAGTATTTCTTTTAAATAATTAGTTTACTATCTTATTTCCTATTCATTTATTTATAGTCTCTGTGAATTATCAATAAAATTGATCTCCTTTAGGACTAGCCAAGTTTCCAAGTCTACGATCGTATAGATTCCTGTTTTATGACAGTTTTGCAGTTTTGCAGTTCTCTCTTTGCCAAACTTCAAATTTACCTGACACTGGGCAGGAAGCAAAGCTCGCATTGATTCAGTTCACCTCGAGCTATTTTCTTTCCTCCTTTGCATATACCTGTAGGTGTCCTGAATAGATACTCAGGGACAAGGACTGATGTGGACCGAGAGTTCGTTATAATGTTTACTCTTGTGGATGAGAATCAAAGTTGGTACCTCAATGAAAATATCAGACTTTACTGCTCTGACCCTGATTCCGTCGACAAAAAAGACGCCGTTTTCCAGAGGAGTAACAAAATGCACGGTGAGTATCTCCCATGTTCCCAATACCATACTGGTGGCTTTTCTTACAGAGAAGATAGGAGAAAGGGCTGCAAATACACAGAGATGTTGCCCCTAGTTTTGCAAGATTCTAACTTATTTTTGAGAATGGTTAGAATGTGATATAAGATATCACACCAGTGGGAACCTAAAACAATTTGAAAGGGGACAGAGTGACAGATGCATGCTAAAGTGAGAATAAATAAGAACACCACTGTGGTACAGAAAGGGGCGGGGGGGCAGTGCTTTAATCAAGAAGGCATCAGTGCCAGAGGTGAGCCCCGAGCTTGGGTAGGTTAGATGGACAGGAAGGAGAAAGGAGGCCTGGCCAGGGTGGCACACACTGGATGCTGCTGTGTGGTAGGCTGTGGCCACGTGGAAGGCCCAGGTCGGATTTCTGGTCCAACTCTCAGATCAGGCCTGGTGGTGTGCACCTGGAGTCCCAGCTACTCAGAGGCTGAGGCAGGAGGATCATGACAGAGAAACCCTGTCTAAAACATCACACACATGCACACGTGTGCACACACATACACACAGACACCCCACAGGAAAAAAAAGGAGAGAGGGGATTGAAACCATCATCATATAATAACCCTACGTTTTGCATCCCTTGCTTTATCAGTAATTATTTTCTGAGTGGCTGCTAAATTTGAAGAACTATGGTATTAAATGCACGCTTGTAGATTTGTTTTCTTCTATGACATTCTTTTAAATTGACAAAATTTAGTAAGCATTCACTATACACCAGAACCTGTATCCATTCAATGTAGTGGTTTTATACTTACCCTGTCAGTTGAGACATGTTTCGTAGCATCTATGCATGTTTTTGTAGCATTTTAGGATATAGGAATGGAGTGATCTCTTTCCACTATTTTCCTAAAGAGTTCTAGTAAACAGAAAGGAAATCTTCAAGGTAAATCCCACTTCATTAATTTTCTTAAATTTTATTTATCTTTTAATAAGAGGTTTTTGCCTTAGGGTGTGTGTACTCACTGGAGAGAGACAGAGACAGTGAGAGGAAAAGTGAGAAAGGGATGATGGCCACGCTTTGATCACTTCTCCTTCATTCTCTTCCTGGGATCTTGGGCACACATGCATGCAAATGTACCTGGTGTGATTTTTCAAGTCACCAGGTCCAGGACTCAAACCATGGTCATCCATGTGGGAACCCAGTGACATAACCACTGTACCATCTGCTGGCCCCCCACTTCATTTATTAACAACCCCCCTCCATCATTTGCTTATCTGTCTCTCAGCACCATCCTCACCCAAGCAACTTCGATGTAGTCATAAAAACACACGAGACAGGGAAGGAATTGAAGATCACCTTTCCTCCCCACCTCACAGATGTAGAAACTGAGGTCAAGAGATGACTTGCTCGGAAGTGTCTGGCTCCCGGGATAGGCCCATGAGCTCGTCCTCCCGCGGGCATCGCCGTCGTTAGGCCGGTCCGGTAGCCTCTGCGTGCCCCGGGACAGGCCCTCCCCTCGCCGGAGAAGGGGCAGCCGGTCGAGGCGCCTCCC